CATGCTTAGTGTGAGGGATTGCTGAAGAGTCAATGAGTCGATGCAATCAACTGGTTTTCCTTAGATAGAAAACTTTGAATCAATCTGACTGGATGATCTGGTGAACTGGAAAGTGACCTGAGATGACATGATGTGAATTGGAGCTATAGAAATAAACTGAATAGAATTTAATTGAATTGAACTGGAACGCTAAAACAAAATCTGCCAGAGCAGCAGGTATATACCTTAGTTATCCATGTGTGTGGAAGGAAAAACCTACAGTGATTCCACAATATTCTTCAGGCGTGTTCATATCTGTAGCTGCAGCTTAGTAATTAGTGTGTGAGTAAATGAGTGTGGGAACATCTGGAACCAAACTCCCGTATAATACTGAGTGGCAGTGGGAGGTTTTTTTTTTCCTGCTTTCTTTTGACACTTAAAAAAAGCTGAACTGAAGGGAGCAACTTGTTCCTGTAAAAAAAACTGACAAATAGCACAGAAAAAATACCTGTGTGCAAACATGAAGTCTGTTACAAGCTTAATTTAAAGCTTTGTTGTAATTATGGTTAAAAGCCACTAGAGGTCAGTGTTGCATCATTATTAAGCTTCATTTTGATCTTTTTATGTTTCCCTTATCATCAGTTTTACTGACACAATGTTTAATCCACATCATTAATTTCATCTTTATTTATATGATTTTTGTCTCTTTAAGAACCAAGATTTTATTTACAAGAGACACCAGTTTGATAAAAACCAACAGAATTATAAGGACAAAAAAAAACACACATAAATGTATTTTTTTAATCCATTTTCGTGTCTATTTATGCTGATCTCTTTCTAACTGGTCAAGCTGGTTTTCTAAAGTGGTTACCAGCTTGGCTTTTGGCCGATTCCTTAAGCTTAAATATCTGATAAAAAAAATGTTAGAGGAACAAAAGGCAGTGGAGGATTCATCAATATAAAATTCTGATACCGTATATGTTTTAACCATTTTCCCCAGTTAAACATTTAACAGGAATAGTTAAAGATACAATCATTTATTCTCACGCTATTCTTACGTTACAAAACAAAGCAGTGAATAATTAGATCATTAAAAAAGGCATTTATTTGGTGTTATTTTATTTAAAATTGAGGAAAGCCTTTTTACAGACTCCTCTGGTTCCAGCCGTAAAGTCTCTCTGGATGTCCTCCACCCTCTCCAGCTCCACATCAGTCAGATGGGAGGAAGATGATCTCTAAACGTTCAAACTTAATTCTCGTTCTGTTTCTCGTGTGGAATATGGGCTGGTCTTTGACTGGGCCGTTCTAAAACATGAACTTCTTTTGATCTAAACCATTTAGGGTCATTATCCTCCTGCAAGCTGAACCTCTGTCACTTCTTTCTGCAGTAAATATCTGTCCTCCTCACCAACACTCCCCAGCACCTCCAAACCATGAGGTTTAAAGATGGCCTAACAGGTGTCCTGTTGACAGATGCAATCACCTCAGCTGAGGATGTTGCTGCGGTTCCTCTACTGCATGAAAAATTCAACGTTTGTAATATTAGTTTAAAACCTGATTCTGCTTCAAATGTCTTACCTGCTGTTGGATTCATAAATCCAAGCACTAAGCTCACTTAGCTGATTGCTCCTTCCTGTGTTTCCAAAAAGGCCAAAGTAAATAACCCAGTCCTTCTTTTCACTGTAGACAAGCCATGATCTGCTTATCTGTTCTCCATTTTTCATTTGGATGAAATAATAGCTGCATGAATCATGACAGCAGACAAGATAGAGGAGAGCAGGAGGCGGGGTTACCGATCTACTCGCTCTGGAGAGCAGAGTTCGCTGCTTTTAGATGTTGTCTCCAAAGTCTCCAGTAGCAGAAAAAAGTCTCTAGATTTGGCGCTAGGAGCTTTTTAGAAATCAAAGTGCTAGAGGGGTCTGAAAAGTGGCTAAATATAGCGACTAAAGCGCTAAGTTGGCAACACTGCTCTTTGCATGGTTTGTTTTCAAATGGTTTGCTGCTGTCTGTTTGGACCTTTCTGAACATGTGCAGCAAATGGACTGATCCAATATGGTGGACACTGAAAGGAAGGAAGTTGGGGCCATAGAGAACTGCCTAGTGGTAATTCCCTGGGAGTGACGTGTTATTATATTTGGACAAAAATGGCGGCTGCCAGAAAATTATTACTTCATTAAATCACAGCAAACATATTTGTTTTCAGGTATAAATAATGATCCATTGATTATTTCTTGCTGACCGGACTTTGGCCTCCAGAGAACATCTGGATGGAGGATCAAACTCAACAACAAGGTGAGCTGGTTTCCACTGAGTGTGAAGATGGTTTATTGATGAACTAAATGGATGTTTGTGGCTTTAATGTGACAAGATAAAGACGCATGGCTATTTGCTAGATATTTTTTTTATTATAGATCAAATCAAAAAGCATGTAGGTTAAATTCAAGTCCACTGTTTGTTTACATACTGCAGCTGTTCGACCTGTGTCCTCAGAAAACAGAGGACCAGATCCATAGCACCATGAAAGAAGTACAAATAAACTGAATTCACACACAATAAAATACAGAGGAGTAAAAACAGGAAATACAGTCCCATCAACAATGACCCAATCAAACGTCTGGAAGTGATGCTTCAGGTAGGAAGCTTCTTCCTTCAGCCAGTATTTCTGTTAGTGAGGCTCTGCAGGGTTCATACTGGCCCCACAGCCCTGCTGCTGCTGCTGCTTTACATTAAATCCAAGGAATGAGCCCCATCAGTTCCCCTGATTGATTGATTTCCACCAATCATCTCATTTTCTGACATCCACAGAGACGCCGTCCAATAGGAAGTAAAGACAGGAAGCCCAGTTAGATTGGCGACGTCAAACCAGCGTAAGGTGGAAGAATCAGTTCAGCTTTTTCCCCTGAGGTTGAAATTTAGTTTCTACAGTCCCAGAGACACCTGACCTCAGTGTCCAAGATGGCCGACAAACAATATGGAAGAGTAGAAGATACAGAAAGAAACAGCCACACTTCTGATGGTGGGTGTCTTAAAAAAAGGACTAAACGCACAAAGAGTTTTATAAAAATGTTTCACAATGTTTGTCGTTCTGAAACGTATGAGATTACAAAAAAAGTAAAAAAAAAACAATGAGCTGGACTTTGTTTCCAAGTTTGAAGACATTTCGCTTCCCGTCCAGGAAGCTTTTTCAATTCAAATGTCAGAAATAGCGTTGAGTTGGTTTTATCCTGTAGCCTTGATTTGGTTTTGACTATTTCTGACATTTTGAGTTTAAAAAGCTTCCTGTATGAGAAGCGAAACATCTTTAAACTTTTAAACAAAGTCCAGTCGTTTGTTTTTTTACTTTTATTGGAATGATGACCTGGATGACTGGGAATCATCCCCAGCATGTTGCATGACATGGCACAGGTCGGCCAGTAGATGGCACAGTAGAGAGTTTCCCTCTGCAGTGGATCGTACCATCAGCTCATCCCCAAAACCAGAGACACATCCACGGCTATGGAAGACCAACTCTGCCATATTTAAAAATAAATACAGAAATAAATGCTCAATAAATATATAAGCATACAAATAATTGCCACTAAAAATACAATAAACAAATAAATTAAATTATACAGTGAGACATAAATATATAACTCTTTTAATTAGCTTCTTTATTTATTTGCCTTTGTAATATTTACCTTATTTATTTTTTTTGTCCTTTATAATCTTCAACTTTATTTTTTAATTACTTATATTTTTAAGTATTTATTTATGTGCATGTTATAATATTTTTGTCTGTTTTATTCTTCCTTTGTATTTTTTTATCCTCGTTATTTCTTCACCGCTATATCAGGGTTCCCGCGGGTCCTTAAAAAGTCTTAAAAAGTCTTGAATTTAACTCGCCTTATGCTGTAGGAACCCTGTTTTTATTTCTGTGTATTTTTGGTGTCAATTAATTGTATGCTTATTTATTTATTGAGCATTTATTTATTTTTGTATTTATTTTTAAATGTGGCAGCGTTGGTCGATTTGACTTTGTAAAATAGACCTAAATTACATTTTTTGCCTTCCTAAAAACAGTAAGCGTACTAAACTATAATGTGTTAAAGGTTTCCTTAGAAAACACTGTAAATGCATTAAATTAAAATAAATGCTAACCACTCTGCCGTCACTTTGAGCTCCTTCCATCACGCAGAGACACAGACTTCCTTGTGCTAAAAAAAATGTGTGCAGAAATCTTTAGAGCGATTCAGGAGCTGAACAAGTTGTAAATGTCACCCGGTCTGTTCTGCATTAGATGGAAGATAATAAAGTTTTTTCTATTCTAAAATCCTTTCTGTTTTATCCCTCTGTTCCCGATCTGCGCAGGAAATCAGGTCCTACGCTACGTTCCGGTGGCTAACTTTTTCAGCTTTGAATTTAAACATAAATCTGGTCTTTTTAGACTTTCATGTTTTCCTTTCATGTCAACATTATGATATATGGTGCGTAATCTGAAGTAACGGTAGAGAAGCAATAATGGAGAAAATGGAAAAAGCATCAAATTGTGTCAGAAGTGTCAAAAAAATATTTTAAAGATGTAGTTTAACATTCTGTAGTGATTTAAGGATAGAAATAAGTACTATTAGAACCATAATTACTTTATTTATGGTGACCTGGATGAATATCTTCATGCTCATGAGCTGATGGTACGGATCATGCTTCCAGTGCTCTGTCAGAACAGCATCCCCACAGTCAATATGCATGTGCAAGACGTCAGATTTATGTTTCCCTTTAGTTTTGTAAGAAAAATACACTTTAAACTACCTCGACGGGTGCGTATCCCTTTAGTCATGTATAAAAAAAGACAATGGAAGTTCAGATCACCATACGCTACAAAAAAACACCAAAAAATAAGTAATTAAATAGTTTTTTGTACAAATCTAAAGGGATACACTAAAATTAAGGTATTTTAACGTCTATTTTTATACAAAAGTAAAGGAATAAACTAAAGGGATGAACGGGTATGCTGGTCTGACACCGGCACGGATCGTGCTTCCGGCACGGATCGGGTAGTGACATCACTTCTTCTTCTCTGAAACCTGGTTCTGTTTTTTTCTTCTGCAGGATAAACAAACCAAAACGGCTCTACAGGTTGGGCTTAAAGTGCTACACCTCTAATTTTTACCGGAGTTCCTTCAAATAGCTGGAGGTCCCAATTAATGTAAACGTCCTGCAGTCACAGACCTGCATGCAGATCGGCCTTCCTTTGAGCATCACAGGGAGTTTGGAAGAGTTCAGAAAGTTCCTGCTGCATCAGCTGGAACTAACGAGGTAATCAAGAGGATAGGAAGGAAGATACTGATTAGAGGATCCATTCAGGGGACAGGAAGACCAATCCAGCACAGATGGAAAGGATAGGGGTCGGTAGGACTCTTCGCTTTGGAGGGGATTGCTTCTGGACTCCACTCCTTTATTTTTACCTGTGGGTCACCTGGTTATTTATGAGGCCTGGGAACGTCGTCTCTGTTTCAGAGCTCAGTGAGCCGTCTGCAGGAAGAGCAACAAAAAAGTTGATTTTATAACAAAATAAGAATATATCGATTGCTGAATGAAGTTAATAGTTTATAAAAACTAAAGATCAAAGTGACTAATGTTGATATAAAACCAGCTGAGTTTTAGGAAATGTGCTAAATTTCAGGCTTTCTGTGTAAAATAACTGATTTTATAATTGTTTTGTTAGTAAATAAAGCCCTTTTGTTCATTATTATTCACCACACATTAATCACTAAAGTCTAAATAAGATATAAAGTGCTCTAAAATATCCAAATAATCAATAAACCTGCCTGAGTTTTAGTTGAATCTGTTTAAACTGAGCTGGAAAGAAAAGCACTGTAAAAACGATCTAAAAAGAAGTTAAAAATTCTTATATTAAGTGTTTTTACCCTTAATTTGAGTAGTTTGCCAATGAAATGAGTGTTTTTAGTCTTAAAATAAGATAATTAGATGAAATGCACTTGAAATAAGATAATGCAATTGCGTTTTCTTATTTTAAATCTAAATTGTCTCGTTCCATTGGCAAAATGTCTCTTTTATCTCCTCAATCCAAGAACAAATGCACTTATTTTAAGAAAAAATGACTTATCTAGATTTTGATTTTTTCCAGTGAAATGAATCGACATCTTCTGCGAGCGTTTACTTCTGTCTAAACTCCATTGGTTTCATTTTTAAAGAGGACACCAGCCAAAGCCGTCTCACCATTATGGCAGCCGTACATCCAGACGCGATGACCGTCGTACCGACAGCGGCACTTGGTGATGTTGTTGGTGTAGTCGGATTCTGGCACCTCGTTATTGGGGTTTATAACAATCTGTGAAAGGACAGACATGGATGAGCCGAAAACAAAAGAACAGGTCGCATCACCGATGGGGAAGGAGAAACGGAGATGACCTGGAAGATGTAATCTCCGGGTTTGACGTCAGTGATGTCGACCCACTGACAGTCGATGTCGTGTCTGTAGGTATCCCAGCAGCCCACAGTGATGCCCTGCTCTCCAAAGTTAGCACATTCATACTGCTTTTCAATACCTACAGACATAAAGGAGGAAAGATTCACCACAATGCTTGGTGCTCCAGGTCAGAGTGAGAAAATGAATACAGTCTGGAAGCGTTTGTTCCTAAACATCGTTAGATGTTAAAGGCACACTATGCAACATTTTTAAGTTAATTAATGTGTTCCATAACGTTTTGGATGATTAAATGAGTCATTTCATGTTGAACAAAGGTATTCTCGGCCGCCCTGGTGGTCTGTGGGGGAAATACTGCACTTGCAATTGCAGGAGCACCGACCCGCACCCACAGGCTCAGAAGTCTCGCGAGAGTCGGTCTTGCTTTACGGCGAGAACTGCTACACCCCCCAGTTAAAAGCATGCTCGTTGCTAGCACAGTGGCGATCTTTGTGCATTTATGCTACGTTCACATCGGACGCAGCAAAAGCGGCAAAATGGCGTCTGCTGCTTCATTTTTGCTGCTTGTACCAGTTAGTTCTGACGCGCGGCTGAAGCAGCTTTGCTGCTCTGGCTGCGCGGTGCAAAAGTGTGTCTGACGCGCGTTGGGCGGAGCTTCACTATCCTTTCTCTGCCTTGCAGCTATATTTGCTGTGATCAGTGGGAATAAAGTAGTTTTAATATGTGTTTAAGTGAGAAAATACACCTGAAAACGTAATCAGTGCCGTCAGTTCATTCAGATTATTATCCTGCCTTCAATATTTTTTCTGTCGGAGCCGCTCAGACCCCCACATACCAGCGGTGCGCCGACAGTAGGAATCCCTTCATCAGCAGCCTCTGGCCGGGTCGCCTCCTCGCGGTTTACCGCGGCGGCTGGTAGGTGTTTTTCATCTAAATAATCCAAACTGCAGCCAGCAGGATAATAAAAGCCAACATATTCTGCCGGCAGATTTCTGCATTTTAAGTTAATTTAGGCGTCAATAAACTGTTTAAGAGGAGTGATCACTGTGCTCTGATCATCGGCGCTGTGTCTCTCTCCCTGCCAGCTCCAAGATCAGCTTCTCTGATTGGTTGACGCGGCGCGTCGAGCAGCAAAAATTCAATGTTTCCATCTCGAGCAGCAGCGCGTTTGCGGCGCGTCAGATGCTTAAACGCGCTCGCTGAATCAGCTGCTCAGACGCGCTGCGCCTGCTGCTCAAAACGCGCCGCGCGTCAACCATTGACTTTGCATGTAAACTCGCTGCTTCTGTCGCGCCAGCTGCGGTGTGAACGCAGCATTAGTCATTCGTTGCGTTCGCCTGTCTGCTAAGCTCAAAACAACCGCGCCTGGCTTGACGGAGAAACCAGGAGATCAGCTGTGCATATTTACGACAGTGCACTTTTACTTTCGCCCTCTGGGGGGAGCCTCGCTGGAAAATCAACACCGGTTGCATAGTGTACCTTTAAAACAGCTCCTTTTTTCTTATGGCATCATTGTTAAAAACTCTCCATCCTGAGCTATTTTCTGCATTTATGCTGCTATAGGCTTAGACTGCTGGAGGACCGTCAGGGATTTACCTCCTCACCAATAGCTGTTGTAAACAGGCCTTTTCTGTCTTTTTAAAAATTGAGTATTTGGGAGAAGGTTTAAGTCTGTCTTTATTAATGTAGCTTTAAGAACTTATTTTTTCTTTGTCCTCACTTTCTTTTTCTTTTAGGTCACCTGGTCAGGTGTTGCCATGGAGCAGTGCTGACAAGGACCTGGTGTTTCCAATCAGCCTCATAAGGGAACTCCACACTGACTGAGAGGGAGGGGAGATGTTTTGGCTTTTGTTTGGATTTGGAGTATTGTTTAGCTTCAATTTGTTTAAATTAGTTGCATTTTTTTTTTCCGCTAGAGGTTTAATTTAGTTGATTGCTTCCTAAATAGAAAATGTAAATGTTGTGAAAGTTTGCACCCCTTTTTATTAGAGATGGTACAGGCTGATGTTTTAGAAATCTGGGTTGTTTTCTTTTTACTCTGTGCTTCTGCTATGACTGAAGAAAGTGGAACCGCTGCGCCTCTGCTTTGAAATCCCACAAGGTTTCTGCCTCCGTCTGCAAATGTTACATTTGGAGTCAGAAGTGGGATTCAGCGATTGAGGTCCAGAAAAACACCATTAGACGTTTCTCCTTGGCTCTACCTTTCTTACACCTCATCCAAAATACTTTTATCCTGAGCTATCTCTATAGTTCTGCTGCTATAGGCTTAGACTGCTGGAGGACATAGGGACCATCTGGTCTGTTCCTGTTTGGCTGTGACTCCATCCTGGAGAGAAATATCAGCTGTGCTGCTGCCATCAACACCTTTGTTTCTAGATGTTGGAGCTTGGCCTGTTTTCCAGTGTAGTCCTGTTTCCCTGACTGTGACTAACTGGATGTGCTCTCTTCATCCTCTGACATGGGAGCTGGCTCGGAGCTCGTCTGCCTGGCTGTGTGTTTCCTGGACGGGGCCGCCTGTGGAGCTGGTTGACAGTTGCCTTTTGTATCTTAAGATGCCGTGAGATGATATTTGTTGGGAATTGGCGCTATAGAAATAAACTGAACATAAATGAATAAAAAAAAACAGCTGTGAGGTTCACCTTCATCACACTCTGAATCCTCCAGGCAGAAACTTGCTTTGTGTCCTTCTGCCACTCTGGTTCCATTCAGGCTCAGCAGGTCATAGGTGGTAAACACATCCATGCTGTGATAATGCCTGCAACCATCCACACAGACGTTACAGAGCTCACGTTTACACAGAACTCAGCAGAACATCGTCGTGTCCTTTAAACTATGCGTACAGACCTGTGACAGTCATGCCACACCCACAGGTGTTTTGGAGCGTTGGGCTGGAAGTCGGACTGGCCGTTGTTGTGAATCTGAGAGGAGAAGCGCAGCAGGCGTCGGTACGAGTTGGCCGGCGTCTGGGCGGAGTTGGAGGCCAGGCAGTTCTCCTCATAGGCGCACTGCAGCAAGACCATGAGCCGGTCCTCCATGTAGGTGGTCTGCTCCACCACCTGAGGGTTCAGCACCAGGTCAGGAGCGGCTAATGGATGAAAAACAGAGAGCAAACAAAGAAAATTAACCTTTTCTGTTCAAACGGGATCAGAGGAACGAAGGAGCTTCAGTTTGGAGGAAGAACCTCTCTGACGCATTTTCTTTATTAGTCTCCTTCCTGCAGGGACCTTCAGCTAACACATGGGATGGTGTTTGTTTCCATAACCATTTGATTTAATGTACACTACTCAAAAAAATATTAAAGGAACACTTTTTAATCAGAGTATAGAATCAAGTTAATTAAACTTCTGGGATATTGATTTGGTCAGGTAAGTAGCAGAGGGGGTTGTTAATTAGTTTCAGCTGCCTTGGTGTTAATTAAATTACCAACAGGTGAACTAGAGGGGCAACAACGAGACGACCATCCAAACAGGAATGGTTTTACAGGTGGAGGCCGCTGACATTTTTTCCCCTCCTCATCTTTTCTGGCTCTTTTTCACCAGTTTTGCATTTGGCTACGGTCACTGTCACTACTGTTAGCATGAGGCGCTACCTGGACCCTACAGAGGTTGCACAGGCAGTCCAACTCCTCCAGGATGGCGCATCAATACGTTCCATTGCCTGAAGGTTTGCTGTGTCTCCCAGCACAATCTCAAGAGCATGGAGGAGATTCCAGGAGACAGGCAGTTACTCCAGGAGAGCTGGACAGGGCCGTAGAAGGTCTACAACCCATCAGCAGGACCGCTATCCTCTGTGTAAGGAGGTGCAGGAGGAGCACTGCCAGAGCCCTACAAAATGACCTCCAGCAGGCCACTGGTGTGAATGTCTCTGACCAAACAATCAGAAACAGAATTCATGAGGGTGGCCTGAGGGCCCCATGTCCTCCTGTGCTCACTGCCCGGCACCGTGGAGCTCCATTGGCATTTCCACAGAACACCAGAATTGGCAAATCCCCCACTGGCGCCCTGTGCTTTTCACAGATGAGAGCAGGTTCACCCTGAGCACATGTGACAGACGTGAAAGGGTCTGGAGAAGCAGTGGAGAACGTTCTGCTGCCTGTTACATCGTTCAGCATGACCGGTTTGGTGGGGGGTCAGTGATGGTCTGGGGAGGCATATCGCACAGACCTATAAAGGCTAGACAACACCACCCTGACTGCCATTAGGTATCGGGATGAAATCCTTGCACCCATTGTCAGACCCTATGCTGGTGCAGGGGGTCCTGGGTTCCTCCTGGTGCACGACAATGCCCGGCCTCATGTGGCGAGAGTCTGCAGGCAGTTCCTGGAGGATGAAGGAATTGATATCATTGATTGCCCCCCCCACGCTCGCCTGACCTAAATCCAATAGAACACCTCTGGGACATTATGTTTCCATCCATCTGACGCCGCCAGGCTGCACCTCAGACTGTCCAGGAGCTCAGTGATGCCCTGGTCCAGATCTGGGAGGAGATACCCCAGGACGCCATCCGTCGTCTCATTAGGAGCATGCCCCCTCCTTGTCAAGCATGCATTCACGAACGTGGGGGGGGCATACAAATTACTGAATACCATTTTGAGTTGCTGCAATGAAATTTCAGCAAAATGGATTAGCCTGCTGCATCATTTTTTCACCGTAATTTTTGGGGTGTATTTGAATTCAGCCCTCTGTAGGTTGATCATTTTCATTTCCATCAAATGATGCGGCATCCTTTGTTCCTAACGCATCACCCGGTCCATATCAGGATAAATAAACAGCAGGATTTTCCCCCCATTGAGATCTGATGTGTTCTGAAAGTGTTCCTTTAATGTTTTGAACAGTGTATTTAGGCCCATGATGTTAAGGTGTTTAAAATGTAAACAATCACATATCTTCTTATAGCCCAGGCTGATGTTGTGCCATATGCCATGATTATGGTTTTTGAAAATTGGGAACCAGCGTCCATCTTTCATCTTGACATGATGACCAGAGGATCCAAGTTTAGTGAACAGGCAGCTATAAGACCTCTACAAGCCTTTGCTTTCTCAGCCACAGGAACTCCCACAGAGGTGTGACCAACCACCCACCCTCAATAAAACCACAGAACACACAGGATTTACCTTCTCTCTTTGCCACAGAGTCTCCACCAAAATGGAGACCCAGGCCCCAAACGGTCCAGATATCCAGAATTATCAAGGATAAGTCATCATGGTGACCTTTGAGAACCAAACTACTATAAAACAGACTTTTTGCAAAACATTTCTCTTGAGTTTCAGAACTTATAGAGCCAGACTGGATGAGAAAGCCCGCCTTGATGTCAGCCACTGAGACAAAGCGGACCCCTGGTGTGGCCACATGGACAAGCAACATATTGTCATTATGAGTGCGTATGAAATCGTACGAAAAGTTATGCACACTATTTCGTACGTTTTGGACGTTTTTCCTCAAAAAACCACATCAGTGCGCATGCGCTGGCAGACAGAAAAAAAAAATTCTATATTCGTGAATGGTGCGTCAGATGCGCATACGACGAAAAAAACGTCCAAAACGTACGAAATTACGGTGCATAACTTTTCGTACGATTTCATACGCACTCATAATGAGAATAGGTTGGGACAAGAAGGTTTGCAGGTCGGGCACATTTAGGAACAGAACAAACAACGTGCCTTTTGATGATGTTGATCATTTCATGCGTTTCCTGATGAGTAAAAACAAAGCTAACAGGATGGACCGCATGCTACGCTACGCTACAGTAACATTTCTGAGCTGTTGTTAAAACTTAGACAAGCTTTATTTCAGTAAAGGTTTAAACACTGATATAACATTAGTGTTTTTGTGTTCCTCATATGCAGAATTAACTGTTTGACCATGATTAGAGCTAAAATCACTCTTTTATTTATTGTCCTAACACACAGCTAGTAGGCCGTGTAATCGTAAACAATATATAATAGCCAAAAAAGTATCTGATTAAATAAGATATTTAACCCCCCTACCGGGGAGGGCAATAAACATCTTAAAGTATCAGAAATTATGAATTCCCGGCTGGCTGGGAATTGAATATAACAGTTAATCACAACATAAATATGGCATCCGATTGGAATATGATAAATCCACAATACTGAGCAGGAGCAAAGACCTGAGGAGGGCATCTGTTGGCTTTCAGTCTTACTTTCAGAGCAGGAGACTCCGGCGGTTTTGCCCCCCCCTCCTCTGGGGCAGCTGAGCTGGGCTCCGTGATGCAGACAGTGGGACAGAGACATCTCAGTTCCAGAGCAACGGACGCCACTGAGCACCACCCTATCAGCGCCGACCTCTCCTGGCCAGTGCCACGTCTCCTAAAGGGCCAAGAAACATCAATTTTTCAAAAAAAACATACGTTTCATGCCTACAACGGAAACGTGTTGGACTGAAATGCTTTTTGCTTCCAGCTGGGAAGAGAATAGGAATGTAAATAAAATCTATGATAAAATTAGATGCTTAAAACAGGAACTTTTGTGAGTTTTTGGGGAGCCAAAACATCCTCCTCACTAGCCACGAACAAATCCAATAAAGCAAGTTTCACATTTAGAGGCAGTTATTTTCTGCTGAAAACTCTAATTAATAAATATCTATTGATGTGAAAAATGAATGCAAACAGTGCTCATAGATCTCAGAGCCACTGTGGTTTATCAATGGTTCCTAGAATTTCTAAAAGTAGAATGGGAGGCAGATCTTTTAGTTCTCAGGCTCCTCTCCTGTGGAACCAACTAGCAGTTTTAGTCAGTGAGGCAGACACCCTGTCTACTTTTAAGGCTAGGCTTAAAACTTTCCTTTTTGATAAAGCTTCTAGTTAGAGTGGCTCAGGTTATCCTGAGCTATCTCTATAGTTCTGCTGCTATAGGCTTAGACTGCTGGAGGACATAGGGACCCCTTTTTCATCATTCTGCTTCATTCTATCTCTATTCTCCCACTCTGCAGAATCTGTTAGTTCAATCTCTAACGTTCTGCTCTCTCTGCTTTTTCTCATAGTAGCTTCATCTGGTCTGTTCCTGTTTGGCTGTGACTCCATCCTGGAGAGAAATATCAGCTGTGCTGCTGCCATCAACACCTTTGTTTCTAGATGTTGGAGCTTTGCCTGTTTTCCAGTGTAGTCCTGTTTCTCTGACTGTGACTAACTGGATGTGCTCTCTTCATCCTCTGACATGGGAGCTGGCTCGGAGCTCGTCTGCCTGGCTGTGTGTTTCCTGGACGGGGCCGCCTGTGGAGCTGGTTGACAGTTGCCTTTTGTATCTATGCTTCTTTTTCTATGTCTGCTTCTGTCTCCTTGAACCCCAGTGGGCCTCAGCAGATGGCCGCTCACACTGAGCCTGGTTCTGCTGGAGGTTTCTTCCTGTTCAAAGGGAGTTTTTCCTCTCCACTGTCGCTACATGCATGCTTAGTGTGAGGGATTGCTGAAGAGTCAATGAGTCGATGCAATCAGCTGGTTTTCCTTAGATAGAATAGAATCAATCTGACTGGATGATCTGGTGAACTGGAAAGTGCCTTAAGATGTTGTTAATTGGTGTTATAGAAATAAACTAAATTGAACTGAATTTATTATTGGGGTTAAATATTCTTAAAAGTCCCTGAAAAAGGAAAGCAGCTGCTAGTCTGGGGTTTAGACCTACAGCATCCGTCGTCTGGATGCAGGCAGCCTCAGCCTCCTGTAATCATGCAGCTATAAATTCCACTTTTAAAGAATAACCGCCACATTTAAACTGTAAACCATCAGCAGCCCCTGTTTCGCACCAGGGGCCCCAGATAGCTGCTGCTTTAGATATGTATGGCATGCCAAAAACCAACAGACCCCTCACAGGAAAACACATGCTGCAAGCAGAAAGAAAGCGGTGGGATAAATGCAGGAAAAGGATCGTTATTAAGGATATGATATTAATCCCATTTTATGTTTATTGGCTTTGCAATAAACTACAATAAACTCTCCATAAAGAGACAGATTGTTCTGGAGCTTTTCTGAATGAACAGCATCATGTCAGAATCCTCACCATGTCTGGATCAGTCTCTGCCATCGTTCTGCTTTCTTTCCTTTTTGGACTTTCAGATGGAGTTAATTATTGTATAAAGTTATTTATAGTCCTGTTTAGTTTTTCTCCCTTGTTCAGTTTACTTAGGCTTTTTAAAACATGCTTCTGAGAAGTAAATGTCCAAAGAAAGGCCGCTAATCAAAGCTGGTACAGTTGTTAGTGATCATCTGCTTTTACAGTGAGAAACAGCTGTTTGATTGGTTAGTTAGAGTTAACCTGAATGTTCATCCAAGCTTCAAATATAATAACAATGAATGAAATATGCAAAGAATGGTATTGATTAGATTAAAGCTCCAGTTTTCCTTTCATAGGGGAGTCGTTGTGCTGAATGACAGCTACCTGGAAGGCTCTCCTGGCGAAGCCCAGGCCCAGCTGTCTGCAGACCACCATGGCCTCCATGGTTCCCCAGCCCTCACTGCATACCGTCCCCCACACCAGGGAGCCGTTCCTGTCCACCAGCACCTCCACTCGGCCTTCAAAGGAGTTACGGCCGCCTCTGAGCCGCACCTGTGGCGGAAAAAAAAACAAAAAAGATATGAATGTGTTGTAGATGTAATGATCCGTTTGGCCTAAAATGACCCTTAACCTCAAACTGCTCCCCAAGGGGAGGGGTTAAATGCAGAGGTAAATTTCTCCAATGTGAGATCAATAAAGTTCAATTATTAGTATTTTCATTGCATGAACTTCTTCATTCCCTCCACAAATAGACAAATATGTCCGACTCCAGTGAGAAAAGCTTCAGATTGCAGCTTCCATCTTCAGTCTGATCTGAACACGTCCATCCCTGTTTGGTTCAGAACCGCAACAAAGCTGTTTGGACTTCAGCTCAGCTCTACAGAGCGACATTTACAGAAAGCAGCCGCTACAGGTGATGAACTCTCAGTCAGATCCTCACCATGCAGCTCCTCTTTTCTAAAAACACCCTTTATTTTTAAAAACTATGCTTGTTTTTATTTTCCTTCTTATATATTTAGACTTAAAGGAAACTTCTGAAAGTTCCTTAAATCTGAAATGATTCCATCCTGTTCAATAAATGATCAGTGTTTTTAATTCAGAGTAATTTTCATGTGAATGTGCTTTACTGGAGGCATCCATGTTTGTCAAAGAACACTACTGCCACCTACTGGTTAGTGACGTCACGGTGCGGTATCGGCTGTTGATCAAGTCCCAGTGCTGTATCTGGTGTTTGTCACAACGCGCTATTATCCAAGTCATCTTGAAAACATTCTTCTTCCAAATGTTGGCTACATATTACGGGTTTTTTCTCTGGCCAGAAGTTCGATGGCAAATCCTCCCTCTTCAAGTTGGCGATCCAACGACCAACCCGTCCGTGGAGGATCAGGAATCAGAAAGGTGGAATAACTCTTTTTTTCACTTTTACCCGATGTATTCCAGCATCCAGCTGCCATGCACGTGGGACCAGACTCAGTGATCGCAACGAAAATTATTTTTATTTTTTCACTGATTACGCTAAATTAATTAAATCACTGCAAATGTGTTAATTTTAGGTATAAATAATGATCCACTGATTATTCTTTGCTGACCAGATATTCCTTTAAAATTTCTTCATTAAGAACACGTTGAAAATTTAAGTTAAATTCCTGATTTTTGTCTCCGAAGCCCCCACGTTTACTTTCTGCTGCTCTAATATTGATAATGGTTATCTACTCCAACTGCAATATCATTACAACTGTTTGTTTTGTATATACTCTGTGCATAGAAATAGGGAATAAAGTTTGTCTAAGTCTCTAAGGTTTGTAAAGACCCAGAGGAGAGACTGACCCTCTGCTCGAAGCCCATGGCCGGGACGTTACATCTGACGGCGGCGTCTTCCTCATGGCTGCAGCCGAGAGCCTCCTGGTTGAAGGGACACTCGGTGACGGACTTCTCAAAGCCTGAGCACTTCACCTCATTCATATGCACGGGCCCCATCCCTGAAAAAGCACACAGGCATGCAGAGGACATCCGTTTCCAAAGGTTTGAAGTTTGACTTTAAAATGTTAAATATACATTTCTAACAAGAAACAAGTTTTTAATTTTTTTTTTACAATTAAAGATATAACTCTAAAATCTAATAATCATTGGATGCACTGATTGTGTTTTTAATGGTGCTTAGATCTACAGCAGAGTAGGTGGCAGCAGCTACCTGCCCTTCAAAATAAGAGCCTCACAAGGCAAAAGGTTAGGCTATGCTAGGCAGCTGCCTAGAACTTATTACAACTATTCCTTATTTGTTCACATTAATTATGTTTTTGATAAAAATCCTTTGGCTAAAATGCCATCAGAACGCTGATAATATTAAGTGTGTCTCAGCCCCCCCCCTTCAGTGTCCACCATATTGGATCAGTCCATTTGCTGCACATGTTCAGAAAGGTCCAAACAGACAGCAGCAAACCATTTGGAAACAAACCATGCAAAGAGCAGCGTTGCCAACTTAGCGCTTTAGTCGCTATATTTAGCCACTTTTCAGACCCCTCTAGCACTTTGATTTCTAAAAAGCTCCTAGCGCCAAATCTAGAGACTTTTTTCTGCTACTGGAGACTTTGGAGGCAACATCTAAAAGCAGCAAACTCTGCTCTCCAGAGCGAGTAGATTGGTAACCCCGCCTCCTGCTCTCCTCTATCTTGTCTGCTGTCATGATTCATGCAGCTATTATTTCATCCAAATGAAAAATGGAGAACAGATAAGCAGATCACGGCTTGTCTACAGTGAAAAGAAGGACTGGGTTATTTACTTTGGCCTTTTTGGAAACACAGGAAGGAGCAATCAGCTAAGTGAGCTTAGTGCTTGGAGAAAATCTTTCATTCCTTTAGAGACAGCATGAAAAGTCAGCTGAGTACAAAACATAGAGAGGAAAACAAGAAGAAAAGGGACAAGAAGAGAGGGACACAACCTAGAACAGATAATGGATGTCTATTCTATTAACATTTCTATATCTGGAGAATGGGGCTGTTCTATGTGTTGTCTTCTTACTTCAAAAGGCCCCCTGCCTGTCTTTGCCTCGGTCCCCAAATTTCTTAAATCAGGTCCTGTTAACCATGAAACATACAGATTTGGTTTCCCAAAGTATCACTGGATTACTTGTTGGCCATTGGTTCCTACAATTATTCTAAACTCGGCCAAAATAAACCAGGATTAGCTAAACTAAGTTATTTGTAGTAACTTAGCATAAACCAAAGTATTACAAAAAAGACGATGAACAAATTTAGGGTTAACTTGGCCAGGTGATACTAATTAGATAACCCCCCCCCATTCATCCAGGTCATAGTCATTCCAAAATAGTTAAAAAAACAATCCACCTGACTTTTTTTATTCGCCTATTTGCCTCCCCAAATGGAAAAGCATGTGATACATTATTTGAAAGCCAACACCTTCCAGTTTCTGAAAATACAAAGAATAAATATAAATGAAGAAGATGCTTTAGAATAGTCATATCTCCTTATATGACATTTGTTCTACATCATGCCAACCACAACTGCAGAAAGGTTTAACAGTTCCAGAGCTGTGAACTTGGCTGTTTAATTGTGGAGAATCTAAGCTTTCTAATGATGTCTAACATGTCTATTTTGGTATATATATATATATATATATATATATATATATATATATATATATATATATATATATATATATATATATATATATATATATATATATATATATATATATATATATATATATATATATATATATATAAAAAGCTTAATGTTGTAAATTTCATGTTTTCTGAGTTGTTAGTTGTAATCTCTTCAAAAAATGGCTGCCGGCGACCGGATGGATTTTGAGAGATTATAGCCCAACAAAGCCTTGTTTTTGCAGATAGAAACGGATGAATGGGTCCCCCCCTTTGGAATGGGGGTCGTTTGGCTTCTTTGTTAGCCTGCAATGCCCCATACCTGTCTATGTCTCTGAAAGGGGGGTCGTAGAGGGAATAGTTGGCCTGGCTGAATAGGTGAGGTCTTCTGTTCTCCTGTAAAGGGGTTGGAGTTACGATGATAGCGGGAAGGAATGAACTCTATCGCTGCATTGGAGGTTTTTGAAAGCTGAAATCTGAGTCCCCCCCCCCCCTGTTTAAGGTTGGATTTTCTTTCGTAACGTAGATGGCTTCCTTCGCCACCCCCTTCTAACTTCGTCCCCAGGGTCTACTATTCCACAAGCCTTTGCTTCCAACTTTCTCCTCCAGCAGATGTACCAAAGGAGAACTATCCATCACTGTTACCCAGGTTGTAGAACTATGTAACTAGATACCACATCTACCATACAGCTCAGTCAGATCTAGGATGAAATCTAGTTGACATAAATCTGAGAGGTCACCACTGCGTCTGCAGCCAGCAGCTCTCTGATAATCTGCGTTCAGAATCAAAGCAGAGAGTCACATCTGGAAACCTGGAGGAGGATCTTTTCCCCAATGAGGAAAGTGACGACATGAAGGAAATTATAGACAGAAAGTTATTCCAGCAGTAAAAACTATCATTCCTGGTTTACTATTATGGGATAGTTACAGGTCTGCTTTCTAATTAGCATGGGTGTTTGGCATCTTTCCCCCTCTTTACATGCTGACCACGTTTCTTTAGGCCATAATCACTGCTTGAAACTAGGAATCTGCATTAAGCTGCTGGGGGAAAAAAACGGTTATCTGAGAAAATATTAAGAAACGACTTCATGAAAGTAAAAAGAGATGCTGCACAGTTTGTTTAATACAAACCCTGGCCCAGTTGTCCTCCAGACAGCGCTTCCTTTGCTGAACCAAAGCCCAGCTCCCGGCACACCACAGTGGCAGACAGCAGATTCCAGTTATCGTCACATATGGTGCCCCACTCTCCGTTCTTCAGCACCTCCACCCGGCCCTCACCAACCATGGCACCGCCACGGAGGCGGACCAAAGGCTGCTGAAAATGGCAAAGACAGATTGAACAGGAGGTCATGTTAGAGCCGAGGCCGGGAAATGTTTCAAGGAGAAAAACAGATTAGGTTTTTTCTTTTATTAGGATCGTTTGGAACATCATGTTTCTGTCCTCGCAAAGAGAAAAGAAACAGACCAGCAGATGTCCTGTCAGCTGGATAACCTTTAAATAACCACAGTTTTTAGCTAAGTGATAGAATAGGATAGAAAATCCCTTTATTGTCCCACAATGAGGAAATTCCGGTCTTAACATGACATGAATCTAAAAACACAAAAATGTATAATTTAATTCTATTCAGTTTATTTCTATAGCTCCAATTCACATCATGTCATCTCAGGTCACTTTCCAGTTCACCAGATCATCCAGTCAGATTGATTCAAAGTTTTCTATCTAAGGAAAACCAGCTGATTGCATCGACTCATTGACTCTTCAGCAATCCCTCACACTAAGCATGCTTGTAGCGACAGTGGAGAGAAAAAAACTCCCTTTGAACAGGAAGAAACCTCCAGCAGGACCAGGCTAAGTGTGAGCGGCCATCTGCTGAGGCCCACTGGGGTTCAAGGAGACAGAAGCAGACATAGAAAAAGAAGCATAGATACAAAAGGCAACTGTCAACCAGCTCCACAGGCGGCCCCGTCCAGGAAACACACAGCCAGGCAGACGAGCTCCGAGCCAGCTCCCATGTCAGAGGATGAAGAGAGCACATCCAGTTAGTCACAGTCAGAGAAACAGGACTACACTGGAAAACAGGCCAAGCTCCAACATCTTATTTATAAAGAATCCCATAAAATCATCACTGCTAAGAGCAGGTGGGATGGACGGTTCAACAGAGCTATGGCTCTGGGTAAGTTTGGCAACTGTATTCAAAATATATTCTTAGTCTCCTCTAATAATAAATATGCTGCCCTTCCTTTATGAACGATCCAATACAGCAGTAAACAGTTTTTCAGACTAGGTAGGATTCACGTAGGCATGTAGAGCACCATTTTCTCTCTGGTTTCATAACATTTTGCTTCAAAGTGCGCAGCTCTGCATTAAACAAGGGAGACAGATTTTTATTTTTAAAATTTGTCTTTCAAACAGGCTTCATTATCTAAGGCAGAACGCAGAGAAGCATAGATACAAAAGGCAACTGTCAACCAGCTCCACAGGCGGCCCCGTCCAGGAAACACACAGCCAGGCAGACGAGCTCCGAGCCAGCTCCCATGTCAGAGGATGAAGAGAGCACATCCAGTTAGTCACAGTCAGAGAAACAGGACTACACTGGAAAACAGGCCAAGCTCCAACATCTAGACACAAAGGTGTTGATGACACCTGCTATTTCAATTTCTAAATCTGGACACCCTGTCTACTTTTAAGGCTAGGCTTAAAACTTTCCTTTTTGATAAAGCTTCTAGTTAGAGTGGCTCAGGTTATCCTGAGCTATCTCTATAGTTCTGCTGCTATAGGCTTAGACTGCTGGAGGACATAGGGACCCCTTTTTCATCATTCTGCTTCATTCTATCTCTATTCTCCCACTCTGCAGAATCTGTTAGTTCAATCTCTAACGTTCTGCTCTCTCTGCTTTTTCTCATAGTAGCTTCATCTGGTCTGTTCCTGTTTGGCTGTGACTCCATCCTGGAGAGAAATATCAGCTGTGCTGCTGCCATCAACACCTTTGTTTCTTGATGTTGGAGCTTGGCCTGTTTGACATGAAAACTGACTCAGACTTTGTCTCTTTCACTGATGCTTACCTAGACAGAACCACACATGGAGCCGCTAACTATTCCCTTTTCTAACATAGAGCATATTCATTCGTCTTTGTTTGTTTTTAGATCTGCTTCTGCCTCCTTGAACCCCGAGTTGATTTGGTTTGATTTATTTTTTTTTACAATAACTGCTAATCAGTGCGTTTCTGTCCCTGAAATGTTGCATTATGTGACCTTCTAGTGTCAAAATCCATATTTAATCAAAAAGCTGTTTTTATTTGCAAAGCGAGTTGCTTAGTAAAAAGTACTCGACCTTATGGTTTATTAAAGTTTGTATATGTGTGTTTTTCCTTAATTAGCCGCAGCATTTCTGCTTTGGACAGCAGATTAAAAGAAGGTAGGAGGTGTCATAATGTCCACAAGTCTTCTACAGCTTGTTAACTGTAACTGTACAGCAGGGATACTTGTTAAAGTTAGTAAATACATCATTCAGACTGAATCTCATGCTTCTTCAATTTACCGAGGAGACCTTTTAAAAGCTCCGAGCAGCAGGAGAGAAAGTTAAAGAGGTAGCCAGTGGTAGATTTCTCTCTATTGCAAATACATGTACGTTTATATGGCCATCTGCAGATAAAATGTATCTAGAAGAAATAAAGCAGTCTTTTGAAGCGCCTGAAGAAAACTGAGAACTTGTTTTTGCAGTGATGTGTGAGTATTTAATAATCATAATGTTATTAAATACCAGGAAAAGATTCCAGATGTAGGATTAACGTCAGCTGTGCTTTCCCTGGTCATAATGTTTTGGCTGTTGGTTCAGTTATATCCAGCATAGGCAGTTCTCATTATTTTTAAGCAGCCTTTTAAGCAGGAAAGTTTGGAGCCCCCCCGCCCCCCAGCCACAGAACGTGACACGGAGAATCAAACCCCAGAACCATCAAACCATCCAAGCAGGAATGCATGTCGGCTTTCTGGGTCTGTAAGGATTGACGGTCGTACAAAATAAAAGGGACCATGAAACATCTGAGGAGGAAGAGCTCCGAAATTTTCCTCTTCTTAGAGGTCAGAGGTTAACGGTGATCCAAGGAAAACTCCTACTAAATGAGAACTTTGATCTGTGAAACAATAAGGGCTTTACGCACAGCTCACCTACTTCCTGAACTTAAGGCGGCTCCTTTGTTTCCTGTCTTACTGATCAATCCAGGTGTGCCTGGCCACTGTTGTCATGGTTACCTTGGCTAGGTACACTTGGATTAATCAGCTGTAGGTTCAGAAAGTTTGTGAAACCTGATGGTGAGTTGAAACACAGCAAGATGCTACCTGGTCATACGTTCTCCACAGAATTTCAAGTTGAACAAAAAGTATAAATTTCCTATTATTTCTTTTTTCCATACTGTGCTCATTACAGTGTACCAATGATGCACGTTTAACAGATGATGTCATAATTGCCTCTACTTCCTGCTCTGACAAATGTTTAGCTTTAAAGTCGTAGGGAAGCGGCCATTCCAACCATTGCATTTCCGAATTCTCCGAGTGGTGCACAACTTTACACGAGTGATTAAAGTGAAATTGATTGGTCGATTATCAAGGGGGCGGGATTTTTGTGGCGGAAGGTTTGCAAGCAGGTTTGGTTGTGGCCGGTTTGTGGGAAGCATCTTGCTAACCGGTTAGCATCTTAGTGCTACTTGGTCCCAATGGGAAATTAGAAATGGGAAATTAGAAACGACGCTGTCAAGGAACGCTATGGACAGCGGAAACATGCAAGAGGAGGAGAGTTTAGTGTCGGAGGTCGTGGATGAGTCTCCTCCGTCATCCATTTTTTATTTAGAGGAGGAAAGCGGGGACGAAGATGTTGTGGAAGAGGACGCCAGGGCGGCAGAAGCTTGGTTTGGTGTAGAAGGCTTCCAGCCGTACATGTTTGAGCCCTTGCCTCGCAACGCTGCCAGTTCTGTTAGCTCTACGCCTGCCGAAGACACAGACGTCCATCCCCGTGAACACTGGGACGCAACTCAATGGAAAAGGAAATATTCTGATTTCTGCGTATATTCGCTGCGACACATGAATCAAGATGCCATGATCGAAAACATTTGATTGACAGATGACCGTTGATATATGATTGGCCGAATTTAGGTGTTCAGGCTGACGTAGAACTAACTGGCCTGCAGAAGATAATGAAAAAAAATCACAGATTTTAGACAGGATAGAAATTTTCTAACTTTTGGGACAGTATGGTGTGACAAAGAGTACATTGATATTCATGTTTAAGCCAGAATGATTTGACACTTAAATATAACTTCCATACGACTTTAAATGCTGAGACATTTGAAAGTCAGCTCAAGTTTAAAATCAAAAGACTTTCACATAATTCCATCTACATAACTAATCTAAACCCCAAAATGCTCTGATATTTCTGAAGAGCTGAGGATCTGTTACACAGACGCATCGTAGTCATTACCTCTTGTCTGAAAGCCTTCCTGTATCCTGTCATGGACGTAGGGGCGAAGGCTCTACCAGGAACACAGCTCACCACCACAGGCAACCCTCCAGCACACGTCTCATTGTGCTTTCTGGATATTAGCTGACCCAGTTTACAGCTGGACAGGTGGGCCTCACTGCCAGTGCAGTTCACAGAGAAATCCCAGTAGGTTGGCTTCTTCCTGCGAGCGAACATCCTGGAAAAATTGAGGAAAACAATTAAAGTAAGACTGTGTGAACCTATTCCTATGGCCTCAGAAGAAAGGTAGCTAAGGGTTGGTGGTAGGGGCGTCAATCAGTTTCCAAATGTTCGATCAGAGTCAATTGTGCTGCTTAAGGTGGCTGCACGTTGGAGAAGCTCTGCTAGCTTGACTCTGAAAATTTCTTTTTTACTTTAGTTTCTCCATTTGTGGATCAGAGTTGATATTTTCGTCTGGTCTTAAATGCCGTTAAACTGGAAGGATTTTTACTCATATTTTTTTCCCTTCTTGGATACTTATTATGATGCATAATCACAGCAACCATAGAAAGTAGATTTATAACACCTGGAAGCAACTAATTAACAGAGTAGTCAGCAGCACAGGAAACACCACTCCATTTCTTTTCCCTCTGTTCTCCTCTGACTTTTAGGACCAGACAGAGTCCTGTCATCTAGAGAAATACAGGGATGACTCTGTGATCATTGAGAGCATCAAAGATGGTGCAGAAGCTGAGGACAGCGAGCTGGTGAACCGCTTTGTGGCATGGTGTGAAAACAATCATCTGATCCTGAATGTCAACAAAACAATGAGATTATTGTAGATTTCAGAAGAAACAGTAATAATTTGAAAACTATGAACATCCCGGGAGAAGAAATGGAGGTGGTGGGGGAGTAGAAATACCTCGATGTTCATCTGAACAATGGACTCGACTGGAGACACAATTGTGCAGATTTCTCCAAGAAGGGAGAGAGCAGATTATACTTCCTAAGGAAGCTTAGGTCCTTTGGTGTTAGCAACAAGATGCTACATATCTTCTATAAGTCTGATGTGGAGAGTCTGATCTCGTCCTCCATCCTCTGCTGGGGTAACAGCATCAGAGCAAATTACTTAAAAGAGCTCAACAACCTGATAAAGAAGGCCGTCTGTTTTCTAAGAACTCCTCTAGAATCCCTGGAGGTGATTTCAAAGGGGGAAATCTTCAAAGAGTGAAGAAGATTATGGGCAACAGTGAGCATCCTTTTGAGAAGATATTTAAAAAGTCAGAGGCTTTTCCAGATCTGGTGCAAGACGGAGTAATACAGACGATCTCTCCAGCCTACAGCTATCAACACCTACAACAAATCAGTGACAAAAAAAAGCACCCTTTGAGTTTCTGTAACATTTGATTTACCTTAGTGGTTAATAAAGTATATTTGAATTGACTTGAACATGTGAAGGTAGGTGCTTTGGTCAAATTAAACCAAATGGACACATGTGGTAGAAACTAAGAGTGCACCTTACCCCGAGCACACCTAATCCTCATTAACACTACCATTAGCAAGGGTAGTCAGAGCTAGAGCCCTGGCTGTTACACCTCCAGGAGTTACACAAGGCCCAGTAGCTAACAGCTTGGAGCCACAGAGACTAGGGACACATCCACGCAGTGGTCCTCCATCAGTTCCTGAGCAGCAAAGAAATGGCTAAGAGACACCATGAGGACAATGCGTGGTCCTAGATCTTTGCCAACTGGTCACCATCAACCTGTCCATGTTTCAAACTGATTTTCCCCGCTCAGTGATGCACTGACTGAGAAGCCCACTCTGGTGATTGGCAGCTCCATAGTCAGAAACGTGGCATTAGAGACACAAGGGACCATAGTCAAATGTTTGCCGGGCGCCAGAACGGGCGACATCAAATCCTACCTGAAACTGCTGGCTAAGCATAAGGTTAAATACAGTAAGATTGTTATTCACGCTGGTGGTAATGACACCCGGTTACGCCGATCGGAGGTCACTAAAATTAGTGTTGCTTCGGTGTGTAAGTTTGCCAAAAAAATGTCGGACTCCGTAATTTTCTCTGGTCCCCTCCCTGATCTGACCAGTGATGACATGTTTAGCCGCATGTCGTCATTCAACCGCTGGTTGTCTAGGTGGTGTCCTGAAAACAACGTGGGCTACATTAATAATTGGCAATCCTTTTGGGGAAAGCCTGGTCTGATTCGGAGAGACGGCATCCATCCCACTTTGGATGGTGCAGCTCTTCTTTCTAGGAATCTGGCCACATTTATTAGTCCTCCAAAACCCTGACCACCCAGGGTGCAGACCAGGAAGCAGAGTTGTAGTTTAACACACATCTCTGCAGCTTCTCTACTGTTACCCACTCTTTACTCCATCCAGACAGTGTCTTGCCCACGACCAAAATCTAATAAACGATAAATGATCCCAAACCTCAAAATTAGTTAGTAACCCTCAAAATTAAGTTAACAGAGTTTTCATCCCCCAAAAGAAGATGCCACCTTAGCAGATAACTGTCAGATAATGCAATAAGAAATTATGAAGAATCGAGTCCTCTGTATCATAGAACAATACTGCAGCAGGCAACAAATTACTTTATTCCCCATCAGAAATGCATGATTTTGTTTAGGGATGCACGATATTGGGATTTTGGCCGATATCCGATATGCCGATATTTTAAAACTCATGTAGCCAACAACCGATATCGATACCGATGTTAAAGCTGGACAAAAATAAGTAGTCATTGAAAATAGCAGTTTTGTTATCCATTTCTGACACTTGAAAAATAATATACTCAAATATATTTTCATATGCTGATATCAAATTGATTTTTAAAAACGCGATATCGATCTTTTTTACTTTTCAAAATCTCGTGAAATTTCATCGTTCTGTTACAAACTCTCGTGATATTTTGCAAATTCTTGTGAGATTTTGTTAGTAAAATAGATCGATACCGCGTCAATATATCAACATATAAAAATATGGCAACATTTGGTGAATTTTCGGGGGATTTCGTAGCATAACGATGACATATAGCAATATTTCATTAGTAAAAGAGATTGATATGGTGTTTTTAAATGGCAATATATCAGCATATGAAGATATTGGGATATTTTAATGTATCAATATTTTTTCCCTCGTCTTTAGAAGTTTTTAAGTCTGTAAAAAAAGTTTTTGAGGAAGAAGAAGAAGTAGTTTTTATTTTATTTTTTTTAGACTTTAGAAACTCAGAAGCTGATCAAATATCGGGTTAAATATCGGTGGGGTGGCCGATGTCCGATATTCAGTTTTAAGGCCGATACAGGCCGATACCGATAGGGGGCCGATTATATCGTGCATCCCTAATTTTGTTGATGGGTTTGCTAGTTCTCTGCGTTCTGCCTTAGATAATGAAGCCTGTTTGAAAGACAAATTTTTAAAATTAAAATCTGTCTCCCTTGTTTAATGCAGAGCTGCGCACTTTGAAGCAAAATGTTATGAAACCAGAGAGAAAATGGTGCTCTACATGCCTATGTGAATCCTACCTAGTCTGAAAAACTGTTTACTGCTGTATTGGATCGTTTATAAAGGAAGAGCAGCATATTTATTATTAGAGGAGAATAAGAATATATTTTTAATACAGTTGCCAAACTTACCCAGAGCCATAGCTCTGTTGAACCGTCCATCCCACCTGCTCTTAGCAGTAATGATTTTATGGGATTCTTTATAAATAAGATTTTGGAGATCGGCCTGTTTTCCAGGGTAGTCCTGTTTCTCTGACTGTGACTAACTGGATGTGCTCTCTTCATCCTCTGACATGGAAGCTGGCTCGGAGCTCGTCTGTCTGGCTGTGTGTTTCGTGGACGGGGCCGCCTGTGGAGCTGTGGAGTCTTTTGTATCTATGCTTCTTTTTCTATGTCTGCTTCTGTCTCCTTGAACCCCAGTGGGCCTCAGCAGATGGCTGCTCACACTGAGCCTGGTTCTGCTGGAAGTTTCTTCCTATTAGAAGGGAGTTTTCCTCTCCACTGTCGCTACATTCAAGCTTAGTGTGAAGGATTGCTGAAGAGTTAATGAGTCGATGCAATCAGCTGGTTTTCCTAAGATAGAAAACTTTGAACAAATTTGACTGGATGATCTGGTTGAATTGTCTGTGAAGTGACCTGAGATGACATGATGTTAATTGGCACTGTAGAAATAAACGGAATTGAATTAACCTTAAACTACAGAGCTAACCCTGATCTTATCCCCATTCACCAGACCTCTCTAAGCAACACGCCCTGCTTCATGGCCAGACATTTTTTCTACATCTGTAGGAACTATCAGTTGTTTGAAACAAATCCCTAAATTCCTGAAAGTCATTTTTGGTTACTTTTGCACAAAAACTCCAAGTTGATCCAATCACATGGAAAAGCGGATCTCTCTGGATACTTTTTGGCCTTTTAATGAATGTTGACTGCGATGGACTGGCGACCTGTCAGGACTGACCTCTCGCCCATAGACAGCTGGAGCACCAGCATCCCTCGCGATATATATATACACTATATTGCCAAAAGTATTTGCTCACCTGCCTTGACTCACATATGAGCTTAAGTGACATCCCGTTCCTAATCCATAGGGTTCAATATGACGTCGGTCCACCCTTTGCAGCTAGAACAGCTTCAACTCTTCTGGGAAGGCTGTCCACAAGGTTTAGGAGTGTGTTTATGGGAATTTTTGACCATTCTTCCAGAAGCGCATTTGTGAGGTCGCACACTGATGTTGGACGAGAAGGCCTGGCTCTCAGTCTCCGCTCTAATTCATCCCAAAGGTGTTCTATCGGGTTGAGGTCAGGACTCTGTGCAGGCCAGTCAAGTTCATCCACACCAGACTCTGTCATCCATGTCTTTATGGACCTTGCTTTGTGCACTGGTGCACAGTCATGTTGGAAGAGGAAGGGGCCAGCTCCAAACTGTTCCCACAAAGTTGGGAGCATGGAATTGTCCAAAATGTCTTGGTATGCTGAAGCATTCAGAGTTCCTTTCACTGGAACTAAGGGGCCAAGCCCAGCTCCTGAAAAACAACCTCACACCATAATCCCCCCTCCACCAAATTTTACACTTGGCACAATGCAGTCAGACAAGTACCGTTCTCCTGGCAACCGCCAAACCCAGACCCGTCCATCAGATTGCCAGATGGAGAAGCGCGATTCGTCACTCCAGAGAACGCGTCTCCACTGCTCTAGAGTCCAGTGGCGGCGTGCTTTACACCACCGCATCCGACGCTTTGCATTGCACTTGGTGATGTATGGCTTGGATGCAGCTGCTCGACCATGGAAACCCATTCCATGAAGCTCTCTGCGCACTGTTCTTGAGCTAATCTGAAGGCCACATGAAGTTTGGAGGTCTGTAGTGATTGACTCTGCAGAAAGTTGGCGACCTCTTCGCACTATGCGCGTCAGCATCCGCTGACCCCGCTCCGTCAGTTTACGTGGCCTACCACTTCGTGGCTGAGTTGCTGTCGTTCCCAAACACTTCCATTTTCTTATAATACAGCTGACAGTTGACTGTGGAATATTTAGGAGCGAGGAAATTTCACGACTGGATTTGTTGCACAGGTGGCATCCTATCACAGTTCCACGCTGGAATTCACTGAGCTCCTGAGAGCGACCCATTCTTTCACAAATGTTTGTAAAAACAGTCTGCATGCCTAGGTGCTTGAATTTATACACCTGTGGCTATGGAAGTGATTGGAACACCTGATTCCAATAATTTGGATGGGTGAGCAAATACTTTTGGCAATATAGTGTATATATATATATTAGGGCTGTCAAACGATTAAAATTTTTAATCTTATTAATCACAAGGTTTCTTGAATTAATTTCGATTAATCACTAGCCTAAATATTATTGAAAAATACAAATTTTCTCTGTACTCTTTTCAAAACAGAAGAATAAACAAGATGGTATTACATTTAGTTTTTATTAATGACAATTTCAAAAAGAGAATTTAATTCTCAACAATTTTGGCAACTTAGCCATTGCTTTTTTTCTTTTAGCAACTGCAGGATGGTTAAATGGAACATTTTTCATTTAAAACAAACAACTTGACTTTTAAACAATTACATGAGGTCATTTTTACTCATTATTTATTCATGTTTTAGCCAGTTGTTAAGGCAAACTAACTGGTTTACATTTTCTGAATATAAAGAGGACCGTTACTTAATGCCCTGCGTTCGGTGAGGGTGGTCTGACGCATGCGTGTCGTAACACCTGAAGTTGAAGCCCCAGCAAATGAATGCTTGGCGTTAAGATAATAATTAAGGTTTGAGGTGCTTCGGTGAAATAAAAAGTCCTTCTTGCAGTGTGAGCAAACCACAACATGTTTATTTATTGTCTCGTCTTTGTTTTTTTTATACTCGAACTGTCCATCCAGCGCGCCAACGGGTTTTTCTAATTCCTCCATCTCGCTCATGTCGGACAATTGAATTGTGGGAATTGCGGGACTACGTTAATGTGTTAACAAAAATATTGCGTGAATTCCAGAAATTAATCATCTCGCGTTAACGCGTTCCTTTTGATAGCCCTAACAGCCCCAACAAAAACAAACCACAACAATAAAAAAAAAAAAAAAACATCATCCTCACAGCATGGTTTAGATTAGCAAACTGCCAAAACCCTTTGCTCTCATTTGCTGAGCAGCATTTAAAAATGTTTAAGTTATATTGGACCTTTTGCCATATATTTGAATATTTAATCTGTTTTAAAAGTTAACAAAATCTCTAAATGATTCAAAGTGAAATTTCTCCCTTTTAGGAAGCCCAGTATGTTTATAAAAGCCTCAGGGCAAAGATTATGAAACTGCCTCTGCTCCTGGCTCCGTTCCCCTACTGGCTGAATGCTTGCTGTATGTCTCACAAGGCTGATGCACGAGCTGCCGGACACGTAGACGGAAAGTTTGGAAGCATCTGTTGCCTGCTGCGGTTACCTAAAGCAGGAGATTTCCAGCCTGAGCAGACAGACAATTTAAGGTTATCTGGAAGGTTTAATGGTGGACTATGTTTAATTGTGGCTGGTAGGCTAAGAGCTTCCTGATGTAAGCAGGATTTTATGATTCATCAGCGGTTTCTCATGCATTACATCAACCACCGGCTGCGTGCTGATGTCGGTCAAGAGGACGGTGAGGAGTCAGGTTCAGGTTACGCTGTGTGAGGATCTTTACATGTGGTGTGCACCTGCACTACTTTAGACTGGAGTCATTAAACATTGCTGCACATTGGATTAATGTGAATAAGAGAAAAAGTTTCCTTCCAACGAATATTCTAAATAAAAACTTGATATGAGCACTGCTTTTAGAGGGAGTTTAGCTTCTGGAGGAATAGAAATTAAGCTTTAGAAAGAGAACAGCCTCCATCGACGTGTCTGCGGGGGAACCTTGATTTGTAGTTTGCAAAACTTTGTTTGATTTATGCAGCGCTAAAAAAACATATTTCAATAAAATGTTTTAGACAAGATTCCCCAAGAGCAAAGAAATGTGTTGTTTTTTTTCCCCAAAGTTCTTTCTGGTCCAGATATTATATTTTATTATAGAAGTTTTCTCTCTCCCTTTAAACACCACACAATCATCACCATTTATCTTGGATGGAAAATATTTGCTGGTGTGAAAGAGGAACTCATCAGAAGCAGCTGGTCCAGGCCTCACAGAGAAGACCGGGGAATTGGAAACATACTGGGTTTGTTCAAACACAGAAGATGTGAACGATCTTATGTGGTTCCCCCATCAATAGTCTGGTACAGTTATTGTAACTAATAAGTTGAAATTATAAGTTAAAACTCGTGTTCCACGTGACTGCACAACAATTTAACTGATGAGCAGATATTTCAAAACAAAAACTGCATAGTTTGTTGTTTTTTCTGGAGGTTTCTTCCTGTTCAAAGGGAGTTTTTCCTCTCCACTGTCGCTACAAGCATGCTTAGTGTGAGGGATTGCTGAAGAGTCAATGAGTCGATGCAATCAGCTGGTTTTCCTTAGATAGAAGACTTTGAATCAATCTGACTGGATGATCTGGTGAACTGGAAAGTGACCTGAGATGACATGATGTGAATTGGAGCTATAGAAATAAACTGAATAGAATTGTTTTTGCAACTCTTTTTAAAGGTCCCCAATATGAGGAAGACCTTTACTGAGTCTCAGCATCCAAAAGAACTAAAACCATTATGATGTCAAACACAGTGTGCCAGTTTCAGTTGGAGCTTTTATTTAACTCCCAGGCCGACGCGCTTGCTTACTTGTAGACTCTGGCGTTGAAGTTCCTTTCGCCTGGGAAACCAAACATGCCACAGATGACTCTGCTGTTAAACTGGTTCCACTCTGTGTTACAGATCTGCTTCCATTTGCCGCCATCCTTCACCTCCACGTAGCCCTCCGTCACTGGGATCCGCCGACGGTATGACGACAGGATGGCCCGTATGCGAACATCCTCAACGTGAATGTCAAGGTTCTGTTGGAGAACATTGGGAACATATATCAGAGAACATAGCTATAAAAGAGCCTTTAAGCAGAAAACATGCGATAAAGTGCAGTGATCAGACCTCAGGTTACAGGATCTGTTTTTTTCCAGTTTATTTTGAATGTTTGGGCTGAACTTTAGATTCAGTCACAATATGATGATGTCACAGATTTTACAGATAGTGCTAAATGTTACCTGTGAGATCTAATGGTCTACCCCCTAATCCACCCCCTAATCTACCCCCTGGTCAACCCACTAGTCCACCTCCTGGTCGACCTTCTTTAAATCTGAAATGATTCCATCCTGTTCAATAAATGATCAGTGTTTTTAATTCAGAGTAATTTTCATGTGAATGTGCTTTACTGGAGGCATCCATGTTTGTCAAAGAACACTACTGCCACCTACTGGTTAGTGACGTAACGGTGCGGTATCGGCTGTTTATCAAGTCCCAGTGCTGTATCTGGTGTTTGTCACAACGCGCTATTATCCAAGTCATCTTGAAAACATTCTTCTTCCAAATGTTGGCTACATATTACGGGTTTTTTCTCTGGCCAGAAGTTCGATGGCAAATCCTCCCTCTTCAAGTTGGCGATCCAACGACCAACCCGTCCGTGGAGGATCAGGAATCAGAAAGGTGGAATAACTCTTTTTTTTCACTTTTACCCGATGTATTCCAGCATCCAGCTGCCATGCACGTGGGCATTGTCAGTTTCACTACAGCTCTGGTGAATTTCAATGGTGAAGTCCTCTGGAAATCTTAAATAATTGTTGTTGATTGCAGATGTGTCTAGTAGTTCCCATTGATTTAGCTTGGAAAGCGGGGAGAATGGCGCTAGGCTTACCGCACCGTGACGTCACTGCTGGAAGATGGCAGGAGGGAGGGGCTACTAGATTTGAGTGATCATGACTAAAATTACTGTTTTTATTTTTTTACTGATTTATGCTAAATTCATTAAATAACAGCAAACGTATTAGTTTTAGGTATAAATAATGATCCATTGATTATTCCTGGCTGACCGGACTCTTCCTTTAACTGAAACCACACCTGGATGGAAGGAGGTTCAGCTCAGGTGATGGCTGATGACCTTAGCTGTATTCACCATTAGCCTAAGCTAAGCATTCCTTTATATCAGGTCCATTTGTTGCCATGACCTTAGAACTGGTTCAACTTCACAGGTTTGAAACTGTTCCTGACTCAGTTTGTGTTTGATGGAAGTTGGGCAGACAGTATGGGTGGGTTGGACCTGTGGCAATATGTCTTTTTCTGGACTGGCATGAAGCAGGTCCAGATCATGCAGACGGTATCCCACCATCCCCGGCAGCCCCCATACCTCTCTGTCACAATGAGACACAGGATGCTGTTGGTTCGGACCCTTTAAAGAATCCCATAGTCTGTTTCAGCTTGTTGAGGAAGAGGAGCTGTTGTTAGGACATCTTGGCCAGGTGGGTGGTCCTCTCTAGCTACAAGAGGTCAACAGAATGTCTACACTGCAAACAATCTAAATCTAGAGAAGTAATTTTTTCTTAAAATAAGTGCATTTGTTCTTGAATGGAGGAGGTAAAAGAGACATTTTGCCACTGGAACGAGACAATTTACACTTAAAATAAGAAAAGACAATTACATTGTCTTATTTCAAGTGCATATTATCTAATTTTCTTATTTTAAGAGTAAAATAACTAATTCCATTGGCAAACTATCTCATTTACCTACTCAAATTAAAGGTGAATACACTTAATTTAAGAAATTTTTACTTATTTCTAGATCGTCTTTGCAGTGTAGGAACTTCCCACTGTCCAACAACTCCCCCTTTCATGCCCTCAGTCTCCCTGGCCCTCCTGTGGTCACTATGACCTCATTGGACCTCCAGGAGGAGGTTTTTCCAGGAGAACCGCTGTGTCAGATGGTGAACCCTTTCTCTGCAGTGGATCTTTGTCAGATATGAGGCCCACCAGAGGCGTGATCTGCAAACTTTACAGCCATGTTAGTTCTGTAGAGCAGAGCAGTCATGTGTGAAGAGGGCAAAGAGGTGAGGGCTGAGAACATGACCCTGAGGTGTCCCAGGATGAGGATCAGTGATTTCCTTAAGCCTCACTGGGCCTGTAGGACTAAACATTTCAGCTTTCAGACTTCTGAGGGACTTTAAAATGACAAGTGGTCATGAAAACATCTAAACTGTAGAGTAAATCTGTCAGCTTCAGTGGAGACTTTTCATATGAAATCCCAAAAAACCCTGACATGGAGTAATGAGAGGGGAGGCTCTCCATAATTTCATGTTCCCAGACAGAAAACATCATCAGCTGTTCTGTCCTTTGCTATAAGTCACCACACTAATCACTCTAGGCTGGTGCAAATAGCTCTAGATTCTAGTGAAACTTCATAAAGTCTGACCTTATTTTAAATGATGGTTCCTGGAACCATTTCCTGAATAAACAGTAAATGATAAAGATCCCTCCAGTATTTCCTTCACAGATGTTGTCTTCCTGCTGCCCCTTCGGGTGCCACCTCAGCCTCCTTTCACGCTCCTCCCATTACATTCCTCTTTATGCGACTTGATGACCTTCCTGTTTAGATTAGCAGCAAGTTCCCGGGGAAAAGAAAACAGCTAATCTGACTTGGAAAAACAAGCATTACCAACATGTGTTTCTTGTTTCAGCGGCGCAGATTAAAAAGAAGGGATTAAATGAGATAAGTTTAATTCAATACAGATTCAACAAGACAAACCAGAGATCCTGCTGCATATTATGTATTTAAAAAGTATTTTACAAGATAATCTTTTGCTCATTATCAAAAGTGAGTTAGGAAGACTCCAAGGGCCCTTGACTGAGGGGGGCCCAAAAAGAAGAAAACGATTCTTCCCACTATATTTTTCAAATATAAAAAGAAACTCCAGCAGTGAAATAAATTATCTTTGTTCTCACAAAGATAATTCATGAGCCCTGCATTTCTCCCCCCGTCAAATTGCATTAAATGGTTTGGTCCTTACAGTAGGTCCTGCATTTGGCATCAGATCCCTCCAGTCTGTCACCAGCAGTTTGCTCATACTGGGCCTTAAATGCAACGTGTGCATCATTTGACATAGTGATAAAAAATCAAACAAATTTAGAAGAAAACATAAAAATAAGCAGCAATGCAGTAAAATGTCAGCTGCTGAAAAATGCAATGCCCCGAAGTCAAAAAGGAAGAGAAAGAAAGGACAAAGAGGAGGGAAGGCGTCCAACACGCAGGGGCGGAGCTAGATGGGGGGCCAGCCACCCTTGTGGCCACCCCTACCATTTTTCCCTCTAATCCAGATGGTGACAGCAGTTTTACTCCAAAGCGATTTGTTCTAACTTATTTAACATTTAAATTTTTCATATATTAACAGTTACTTGACAACAGAAACACTGTGTCTAATTATGCACATCAGTATACTAACATAAAAACATACAGACATACAGCTCTTTGCAGAACTAGATTTTGCCTTATGGGGGAGAGAGAAAATTAAGTCTTTGCAATTCATCTAGGAGTCTTCAGTGAAATTAGAGATAAATAACTACTTGAATCATAACTAATCAGTTTAATGTAGATATTAGTAGATTAAAACATGAATTTTATGCAGTAATGCCAATTATGTAAGTAATGACAATGATGAAATTGTTCTCCCCACAATTCAAACTAGAAAGATTTTTTTCCTCTACACCTTTAATTTAGACAGCATGGATATTCAAATACACTATATTGCCAAAAGTATTTGCTCACCTGCCTTGACTCACATATGAGCTTAAGTGACATCCCGTTCCTAATCCATAGGGTTCAATATGACGTCGGTCCACCCTTTGCAGCTAGAACAGCTTCAACTCTTCTGGGAAGGCTGTCCACAAGGTTTAGGAGTGTGTTTATGGGAATTTTTGACCATTCTTCCAGAAGCGCATTTGTGAGGTCGCACACTGATGTTGGACGAGAAGGCCTGGCTCTCAGTCTCCGCTCTAATTCATCCCAAAGGTGTTCTATCGGGTTGAGGTCAGGACTCTGTGCAGGCCAGTCAAGTTCATCCACACCAGACTCTGTCATCCATGTCTTTATGGACCTTGCTTTGTGCACTGGTGCACAGTCATGTTGGAAGAGGAAGGGGCCAGCTCCAAACTGTTCCCACAAAGTTGGGAGCATGGAATTGTCCAAAATGTCTTGGTATGCTGAAGCATTCAGAGTTCCTTTCACTGGAACTAAGGGGCCAAGCCCAGCTCCTGAAAAACAACCCCACACCATAATCCCCCCTCCACCAAACTTTACACTTGGCACAATGCAGTCAGACAAGTACCGTTCTCCTGGCAACCGCCAAACCCAGACCCGTCCATCAGATTGCCAGATGGAGAAGCGCGATTCGTCACTCCAGAGAACGCGTCTCCACTGCTCTAGAGTCCAGTGGCGGCGTGCTTTACACCACCGCGTCCGACGCTTTGCATTGCACTTGGTGATGTATGGCTTGGATGCAGCTGCTCGACCATGGAAACCCATTCCATGAAGCTCTCTGCGCACTGTTCTTGAGCTAATCTGAAGGCCACATGAAGTTTGGAGGTCTGTAGTGATTGACTCTGCAGAAAGTTGGCGACCTCTTCGCACTATGCGCGTCAGCATCCGCTGACCCCGCTCCGTCAGTTTACGTGGCCTACCTCTTCGTGGCTGAGTTGCTGTCGTTCCCAAACACTTCCATTTTCTTATAATACAGCTGACAGTTGACTGTGGAATATTTAGGAGCGAGGAAATTTCACGACTGGATTAGTTGCACAGGTGGCATCCTATCACAGTTCCACGCTGGAATTCACTGAGCTCCTGAGAGCGACCCATTCTTTCACAAATGTTTGTAAAAACAGTCTGCATGCCTAGGTGCTTGAGTTTATACACCTGTGGCCATGGAAGTGATTGGAACACCTGATTCCAATAATTTGGATGGGTGAGCAAATACTTTTGGCAATATAGTGTATATGTCTAACTATATTTGTTAGCAAGTTAT